GACACATCAAACAAAGAAGCTGAACAATGGACTGACCACCCCAGAGTCCAGACCTCAACACCACTGAATGTGTTTGGGATTATTTGGATAATGAGAAGCAGAAAATGCAAAACCAACGTCTAAGACTTCTTAGACGAACTTTGGAGGTGTGGAAAAACATCCCTGCAGATTTCTTTAAAAAAATTGAAAGCAAGTCTCCTTAAAAGAGTGGAAGCTGTAATGGAGACTAAATTCTGACAGATCTGACTTTTTTTTGCAGTACTGTTCTTACACATATGGAGTACATATGAGACCTACAGTATGTATAACAGGTCAGTCCAGACAAGGTATAAAAACAAACGTGTGTGTGTGTGTGTGTGTGTGTGTGTCTACGCTCCAGGGCTTTTGTCAGCGTGAGAGAGTGTGATGGGGCGTCACTTCTCAGGCTGTGTCCTTTAGAACAGTTTGGCTCTTTTGCCACAGATTTGTTACTATTCTCTCCTTCTGTTTCCCTCGTTCGCTCACTGGCAGCCACCGATCACCTGAATTTGAAACTGGCCAATCCGAGTGATCTGAACATCAGGCTATTTCTCCAGCCTGGAACTCTCTCTCTCTCTCTAGCTCTCTCCAACTTTATCTCTCTCTCTTTATCCCTCCCCATGTATCTCTCTCTTGTTCTCCCTCTAACTGTCTGTCTTTCTCTCTCTGTCTCTGGAGCTCTCATCTTTCTCTTTCTTTCCATCTCTCTCTAACTCTCTAGCTCTCTGTATCTATCTCTCTTGCTCTCTCTGTCTGCCTTTCTCTATCTCTCTCTATTGCTCTACCTCTCTCTCTCTCTCTCTCTCTCTCTCTCTCTCTCACTGTCTATCTATCTCTCTCTTCAATTTCAATTTTAAATAGTTTTATTGCTATGAATTGCAGTTAACAGCTGTTGCCAAAGCAATGAAAGAAGTGCTTGATATTAAAAATGGTAATACTAATAATAAAAAAGAAGAATTAACAATACTATATACACACACATGCATACATTGTGCACAGAAAAGTAGTTACTAATATGCATATGTGTATATATCTGTGTGTGTAATGTCAAATTAATGTGACTAACACACACACCCACACATACATACATATGAGTATATATATATATATATATATATATATATATATATATATATAACAGCCCAAAATTACTTGGAAAAAAGTCTGGTCCCATTAACGTACATTAAAAATAAAGTAGGTTTTTTGGTTTTTATCTTCTCCTGTAAAGTGTGTGTGTGTATGTGTGTATGTGTGTATGTGTGTGTGTGTGTGTGTGTATATTTAAGCAATAGAACATGAGAGGGAGTGTGTTATCACAGCCATGATGTTATTCACTATAACATACAACTTTTGAAGTGCAGACTGAGCCATAAAACTGCCGCAATATCAAGTTCAGCTCAGTTTTGTCATTTTTTGCCAATATTGATGTTGTTTTGTTCCAGCCAGTCTGTAAAGCATCTTACAGCCCATTTTGTTTGGCTATGTGTGTATATATATATATATATATATATGTGTGTGTGTGTGAGTGTGTGTGTGTGTGTGTGTGTGTGTGTGTGTGTTTGTGTCTCTCTGTCTCTCTCACACACACACCCTCTTTTTCATTCTCTCTTTGGGTTTACTTTGTTCGTTCTCTCTCTCTCTCTCTCTCTCTCTCTCTCTCTCTCTCTCTCTCTCTCCTGCTGAGTTTGTCATCTCTGTTGACCCTGAATGCTCTTTTACTCTCATGGTTATCCGAGTCTGAACCCATTCATGTCTGAAGCAGCTGTCTGTCTGGCACTTAAGTCGTGTCAACAGCACCAGCAGGACCTGCAGTCTCACACAGACACGCTGACCAGGTCTCACAGAACACAGCCATCAAACGCTTCTCTCTACTGAAGGCAGATCTGAGTGTGTTTCAGCTCTGTCTCATCTGAGGAAATTAAAAACGTGTTAAGATGTCGTTGATAATGTTGGCTGTAATTAAACCTGCAGCTCTTTCCATTGGAAAATTGCACTATTTCGAATTGCGATTTCAATATTAAAACGATTTATTTTCATCCCTACTGTTTACTGCCAACTGTCCGGCTGGCTCTCGTCTTGTTTTCTGTTTCTCCATCATCATCTGAGCCGTCCTCATCCTCCCTCTCAGGTATTTAAATTTTTTATTAGTGGTCACTTTCTCGTCTGTCGAGCTCTCGCTGCCCCTCGTCTTGATGGTCACTTTCCTTTTGGCCTGCGGAGTTTGACGCTGAAGATATCGGTTGATTCAAAGAAAGAAAGTAGAGTGAAACCATGTTGAGTTAAAGTGAGCTCTGTCGTTTTGATTTGTCTCTATTTTTGGCTGTATTTTTATATTAACCATGTCTTGCTGTTAATGTGTCGGCCTGGTTTCTCGTGTTCACTACTGAACTCAGATCTGCTCTGAAATTACGGAAACTTCTCCTCATTTATCTGCAGTTCTATTAAAACAGAAACGACCCAAATTCTATTAAGAGTCATTTTAATATTTTATTATCATTTATATTTACTCTTGGTTCTGTCTGTGGACCATTTAGACTCAGAGCGCAGCTTTAGTCTCTGTCTTTCTCTTGATTCTCTGTTTTCTCTCATCGTTTCTGTCCAATATATATTTCTCTCTCTTTTCTATTCCTTCTCTCTCTATACATTTTTCTCTTTATCTATTCAATCTCTCTCTCTCTCTCTCTCTCTCTCTATATATATATATATATATATATATATATATATATATATATGTGTGTGTGTGTGTGTATATATTTCTCTGTCTATTCCCTCTCTCTCTCTATTTCTCTCTTTATCTATTCCCTCTCTTTATATATTATTCTTTTTATATATTCTCTCTCTCTCTCTCACTCAGTCACTCTCTCTCTCTCACTCAGTCACTCTCTCTCTATTTCTGTCTTTGTCTATTCTCTCTCCCTCTCGCTCTGTTTCTCTCTATCTATTCCCTTTCTCTCTGTTTCTCTCTCTCTTTATTTATTTTCTCTCTCTTTCTCTCTCTCTCTCTTTCTCTCTCTCTCTCTCTCTCTCTCTCTCTCTCTCTCTCTCTCTCTCTATTCATATGCATCCCTCTACTTTCTAAAATTAAAGGAAAGTTCTGGGTGAGTGATTAGAAACTATTTTAATTTTTAGTTTTTAGCTGTTGAGCTCTGTTTACTCCCATTCGTTGAGGACTCACTCACGGGCGCCCTCTGCTGTTTTTTGATATAATGGGGGAAATAGGAAGTGGCCAGGCTCCTCGTAAACCGGCTCTGCTGAGGCTAAAGACTGTGGCGTATGGGCGCATGACGTATGAGTGCTGGTGTGGTCAAATCAATTGCGCCCTCTGGTGTTCAAAAATGCAGTTGCATTAGTTGGCATAATAAACAGAACGTACTTGTTATCGATCATCTCCACGATGCACATCGTCACATTTTTGCATCACGATGTATTGTGTCATGTGCCACATGTATCTTTACACCCCTAATGTTAAATGTAACTCACTACCATGTAGTGACCCTAACAGCTACTGCAGTGCTCAGATTTGAATAAATGATTATGAATTCTGATGAAAACTGGGTAAAAGTATATGCGTAACAGTTAACCCATTCATATCCATCCACTAGAGTTAGTATGAGAAAGAAAACGGCCCTAGTCTGGGGATAAGGGCGGGCAGTGTGGGTCAGCGGGGTTCACCCTCTGCCTGTTTGGTTTTGTTTTGTGCTCTGGGCCTGCTGGCTCACAATAGCCTCTTTATCCTCCGCTCGCTTCCCGCTGAACACACGACTGTGTGAAGTGATGCAAGGAATGCTCACACTCGTACAGTAACACACACGCATGCTGAAACAAAGACACACACGCAACAGACTTTACACTGTGACTTCATTCTTACTGTACTGTGTGAAAACACATAAATAAGAACAGAGAAACACACCCAAAGGTCCATATGACCCTGTCCAGACATTCTGCAGCATCTTGGCTCCTGTGTGTGTACATGTGGTTGTGTGTGTGTGTGTGTGTGTGTGTGTGTGTGTGTGTGTGTTTGTGTTTGCATGTGTGCACTGATGCACCGAGTGTGTGAGTGATGTGAGATGTATGTAATTGCTGTGCTTTGTAGCCTGAACTTACAGTATGAACTTACAGGCTTCTCACTCACCAGCTTCTTATTCAAATTTTCCCGGTCCACCTTAAATGGTGCCTGAGGCTAGCTACTGCACCATTTAAGGTGGAACAGGACAATTCAAGCTTAAAGCTGGCGAATGAGAAGCTGACTTCAACCTCGTAAAGAGACGTCGAGAGACGTTTTACAAGAAACTATTCCACTTTTGCGGAAACGTTTCCTGTCAGAGATGCGAGAAAAGCAGCTATAGCTGAGCTAAAGATTAAAGCAGAGCAAAGTAAGTCTGGATTTTCATTTATATAATATTTTTAAGCCTATCCTAGGACATTAGCATATACTGAGAGATTCTTACAGCCAAGATGGTGGAACGTTACTTCAATAAAATGGACATAAAATGTTGTGGCTCCCATGGTGGTTTGATTTTTGTTGAAACGGGACAGAATGGCTCTTTGGGATACCGTCTGCTGGTCTGGGAGGAGGTTTTGTTTAAAAAAAATAATAAATTGGCTGATTTGAAAAAGGTTAATTTCAATACATTTATAATTTTTAAGTTTGAAAATAGTGGGTAAGATCAAGCATAATGTGAAGAGGTGATCATCCTGACAAGTGGCTTTTGAAGAATATGTAAGCCTGTAAGATTCTAATTAAGCATAACAGAGTTGAATGAGACCTAGCAGCTTTGATCCCTTTCATTTAATTAGCAACAGAATCTGTTTTTAAAATGTGCTTGTAATTATCCACATAAAGATGTGTTGTCTTTTGTGTTTTTATCACTCTTTTCCATTCTTCTTTTCTCTTTGTATATCCATGTCTCTTTTCATTCCCCATCCTTCCACGTCTGTCAAATTCTGTCCTTATTTATGTGTCTCTCTGTCTCCCCCTGCAGGACCCAGGCGGAGATGGCTCACACGTGCCGCGGCACCATCAATCTGGCCACCGCGCACATCGACACGGAGGACGCCTGCAATATCGTTCTGAGCAGCGGGGGGCGCACCTACCACCTGAAGGCCAGCACGGAGGTAGAGAGGCAGAAGTGGGTGACCGCTCTGGAGCTGGCAAAAGCCAAGGCCATCCGCATGATGAACGATCAGTCTGGTAAGAGCAGCAGTGGTTCTGTAGTTATGCTTTGTTATGATTGGTTTTGGTGATGGTCCAGTCCAATATACTGGATTAGTACCGACACTGATATTAACCTTATTAATGTATTATTGGTGGTACAATCAGAGACTTTGGCTTTGTCCCCTTATTATAATCTGCCCCTCCAGAGAAGTTGGTGTATGTGCATGTCCATGTTTGTCATCAGATCTGAGTCACATTAGGGCATAAAATCAGATTTGTGTGAACGTAGCCAAAGATCGCCACTGGTGTCTGGGATCAATCTGTCTGTAAATGAACTTAATTCCTTTTTTTTAATCAAATTTCACTTCACTTCTATCATGGATGTACACGTTTTGTTATAACATATGATCACTGTCATGCAAAAAAAACTTTTATCTCCATTTTTGTATTTTTTATACTGTTTTACATACCTTGAAATCTCCAGTCTCCCTTCACATTGTCAACATCAACTTAATTTAAATGTTTTATGCCAATTTTGGCCACAGCTAGAATTAATAAAGTTAAAACGTCTACTCTTGAGACGTGGAGACAGATTTGTTTTGATGTGATGAAAAGATAGGAACAAAGGATATGATGCACATTCTGTAGGCTTACATATCATATGTAAACCTTGTATCTGCAAAATGGCAACTTTACAGGAGAAGGAAAAACCTGTTTTACTTTATGCTGTTTGCTCTCCGGTGTCGACCAGAGGAGGATGGGTTCCCCTTTTGAGTCTTGGTTCCTCTCAAGGTTTCTTCCTCTTGCTCTTTGGGAGTTTTTGCTTGCCACTGTTGCCATTGATGGCGCTCATGGGGGCTCGGACCCGGATTTTTCTGTAAAGTTGCTTTGTGATAACACCTGTTGTAAAAAGCGCTATATAAATGAACTTTGACTTGATTTGACTCTAATGTAAGTCAATGGAACCATTTTGGGTCGTTTCTTTTCATCCATTCATCATGAAATTTACGCACAATGTAAAGGGCAACAATCTTTTTCAAATTATGTCAAAAACTAAAAAAGGATAAAAATGGAGATACGAGGTTTTCTGCTGACAGCAGTGATATATATATATATATCATTCTTTTCATAAAATCTTAATTGTTATAAATGTATGTACAGAAAAATGGGATGGGGAGGGAAAAGGGGTTGTTTTTGATTTCCTTCAATTCTGTATTATTGTGATAAAGAGCTTCTTCATTAGCAGAAAATAAAATTTAAAAAATGATAAAAAAAATGTTGTATTAATTCAGAGTTTCTCCTAGAAATGTATGTCTAGGGCAAGAACCATGTAGGAACCTTCATTTTAAAGAGAGTACGCTGCAGTGATGCAGCAGCTGGAGAAGAAGCAGAACCCCACAGGCTGTTTGAGCTGGAAAGAGATTGTATGTGTGTGTGTGTGTGTGTGTGTGTGTGTGTGTGTGTGTGTGTGTTAATTGCTTCAGCAACATGGCAGGCATGCTGACTGCTAGCTGACCCAAAGATTCCTTCAGTCAGTGGAAGTAAAAATATCTTGTGTTTGTAGGCAGTGTCCGATCTCTCCCTTCGCCACAGAGCGTTCTCCCCGGTAAGCGCTGCTCCATGCATGCATGCTGCCTTGTGTGCTACACAAGCCCTTTAAAGGTTTGGCGTAAGTGACCGATACAGGCTGACGCATTTCTCTGCCTTCAGGCCACAGCCAGCCACTCCCAGTGCCTGTGAACAATCACTCGGGTAAGGGTTAAGAGTCTGCGCATTCAGTGTTTTACTGGTGTTAAAGGCCCCATATCATGGGCAAACGAACTTTCCTCGATTTGTGGGAAATAAAACAGTTTAATGCAGGCTACAAACAGCCCATTTGAAATGCTTAGCTTTTGTGATGTCACAAAAACCAACATATTTACACCCGCCTGTTTAGCCTACAGCCTTTCTTAATGCCGTTGTTGTGTTTATTTGATGTGTAGAGAACACGATCTAACAAATGATCTGACTGCTTTTTGAATGAGGCTCAATACAGAGCAGCCAATCAGAACAGAGTGCATATATATTAGTCTTAAAGGCACAGTAACAAAAACAGCCTGTTTAATTCTAGTTCAGGGGTCGGCAACCCAAATGTTAAGAAGAGCCACTTTGTCCTTTCAACAAAAATTAAACCACCTAGGGAGCCTCAACATTTTATGTCCATAACTTCTTTTATTGAAGACTCTTGGCTGAAAATATGTCTTAATATGTGCCATCTAACGCCCTAGTATAGACTAAAAAGCATAATATAAACGAAAATGCAGATTTACTTTGCTCTGCTTTAAGTTTTAGCTCAGCTATAGCTGCATTTCTCGCATCTCCAGCAGGAAACTTTTCCTCAAAAGTAGAACAGTTTCTTGTAAAATCTCCATACGTCTCCAAATTATCGATGTTCGTCTTAAATCTTTCTCTTTGCCCTTTTCGTTAGCTACTGGCTAGGCGAGATTGTTGTCTGTGTTGCTATGGTGACCAGCAGTCAGTTAAAGGGAATTAGCAGTTTTACATTACATTAACTCAAGCATTTAAGTCCATTTACTGTTAAAACGGTGTTAGAAAGATCAGCAGAGCTTTATTTTACTGCAAATAAAATAAAAATTATTATTTTATTTTTTACCTAAAACTCTAATTCTGCTGGGGAGCCGCAACAGGGCAGTAAAAGAGCCGCATGTTGCCGACCCTTGTTGTAAGGGATGTAAAGAGGTTGGAAAATGGTTTTGTCAAAATAAATTTGACTACTTTTAATACATAGTCCTACATAAATGTCATAAGCAGCCCTAAGGTTAATAAAATAAATAAATAAAATAGGAATATTGGACATGGGCCCTTTAAAGCTTTCAGCTTTTGTAAAGCTTAACTTGTTTTGGAGAAATAAAACCGTTGAGGTCATGTGTGTTCATACTTTCACTGTAGGTAATGGCCTACTAATGTCATTTCCGATGAACAGTCACTCTGGTAAGATGAAAAGTGCCTCCGGCTCTGCGGTTTGGTGGTGTGTGTGTGGCTGCTGTGCAGACTGCACAGTGTAGACTGCTAACCTGTGTGTGTATATGCGTGTTTGTGCTTGTAGGCAGTGAGCGAACTAACAGCACATTGTGCTTGGCTGATTTGCTGGTCATGTGTGGACAAAGCTGGAGGGGTTATGAAGCACTGGCCGTTTGTTGACCCTGTTAACAGTGCTGTTGGTTTCTGTTAAGGTCTACACTTGCACAGATCAGGCATAACATTATGACCACCTCCTTGTTTCTATGCTTATTGTCCATTTTATCAGCTCCACTTACTATATAGGTGCACTTTGTAGTTCTACAATTACAGACTGTCGTCCATCTGTTTCTCTGCATACTTTGTTAGCCCCCTTTTACCTTGCTCTTCAGTGGTCAGGACCCCCATGGACCCTCACAGAGCAGGTACTATTTGGGTGGTGGATCATTCTCAGCACTGTAGTAACACTGACGTGGTGGTGGTGTGTTAGTGTGTGTTGTGCTGGTCTGAGTGGATCAGACACAGCAGTGCTGCTGGAGTTTTTAAACACTGTCCACTCACTGTCCACTCTATTAGACACTCCTACCTTGTCAGTCCACCTTGTAGATGTAAAGTCAGAGACGGTAGCTCAGCTGCTGCTGCACAGTTTGTGTCGGTCATCCTCTAGTCCTTCTTCAGTGGTCACAGGACGCTGTTGGCTGGATATTTTTGGTTGGTGGACTATTCTCAGTCCAGCAGTGAGACTGAGGTGTTTAAAAACTCCAGCAGCACTGCTGTGTCTGATCCACTCAGACCAGCGCAGCACACAGTAACACACCACCACCTCATCAGTGCTGAGAGTGATCCACTACCCAAATAATACCTGCTCTGTGAGGGTCCATGGGGGTCCTGACCACTGAAGAACAAGGTAAAAGGGGGCTAACAAAGTATGCAGAGAAACAGATGGACTACAGTCTGTAACTGTAGAACTACAAAGTGCACCTATATAGTAAGTGGGGCTGATAAAATGGACAATGAGCGTAGAAACAAGGAGGTGCTCATAATGTTATGCCTGATCTGTGTATATACACTTTATTAGAAAAACTACCATTTACTTGCACCAGTGGCGAACGATGACTTCTAAAGTTAGGCCTTCAGTTCAGGCCATAAATATCAGAAAAAACACCTCTACAGTAATGCTAATTTCTTCTAGCATCCCTTTTGGATTCTAATAGTGCGTTAGCGGTAAGCTAATGGCGATGCACATTAACATTTTTGGCTGTTTTAGATTAAACACAGAAATTTGAAGCTAGTAAAAGGCATTACATTTTTATAAGTGTATAACACAAATTAGGATATATTTTACCATGTATATGGCAATTTTACAGTGACTTACAGTAAAGAGTCCTGCTGCACAGCTGCTGCTGCTGCTGCTGTTTTCCATTTCTAACAACTGACTGAAACCTGCTTAGACTATGGCTCGTATTCACAGTCAGTGACATATTTAGGACTTCCAGGAGGCCTAGAGTGATGTTTTTAACTCAGAAAATTGACCCACTTGAACATAATGAGCTCATTTCATGAAATGATTCAAATTATATGATTATCATTGGGTTTTATATGCGATTTATCAATAAAAGTCCCACCCTAGTTGACTGGTTTGCACAGTGCGCACCATTTTTTGGATTTCAGTGTGTCAGAAACCACATAAACAGGGCTATTTGATATTACTTAACACTGCTACACGCTTTGAGGCATGTGTGATGATACAGGCATACAGTTTACACAATGATAACTGGTGTGCATGAGCTTCCACCACTTGTAGCTACATCAGCCAGTGCAAAACTAAAGAATCAAACTTCAGATATGTGAAGTCTTGTTTTGGGTAGCGAGATTATGGTAATTTTTTTGGCAGAAATATCGCTGTAAGATTGTGAAGGGTTGGTAATGAGCCAGAGGAAAAAGCGACGGCAGGGCCCATCGGCGGGCCCGAAGTTTTATTACATACTTCTATAACCTAAGAATAGCTCAACCAGTTTGCATTAAAGTCCTTGTAGTTACTGAATAATGAGTCTTAGTATGGGATATTAAGGGTTAACATTATTTCTGCAGGTAGATTTATTTTAGTAAGCTCACCGCAGGGGGGCAGTGCATTTCTGTTTGTCTGAGAACTAACCTGACACCAGCGTGTCATTCTTTGTTATTTAACTTTCCTCACCTTTTCTATAAAGGACCAGATTTGCCAACGTGAAAAAAAAATGGCTCAGCAAATTAATCAATAAATAAAAACAGCTAAATAAAGTATATATTGCTTGTTTTGATTGTAATTATACACATTTCCTTTTTCTGCAGTTATATATTTCTTGATTAATTTATTTCTGTATTATTTGTTTTGGTTTTATTAATGCCATTTTTATATTTTTTCCGTATTTATATTGTTAACAATTGTTTGCTTTATTTATTGATTCATGTATTCATTTTTTTTTTTTTAATTAATTCATTAAATTTTTTTTTCCATTAATTCATTTATTTAATTCTGTATTTCTTTGTTCATATGATAATGAGGGGGCGTGTTTTCTACATTCAGGCTTAGCAATCAAGACCAGGAGGAGAGTTGATTAAACTGTTCTTTCACCATAAAGAACTGCACAGACAGACAAACCTGCTGATAAATAACTCTCGATGGCTCCACAGTCAGTGTGTGAGAAGGGCGTCCGAATGTCTGCGTGATCTGAATTTTGCAGAAAAAGATGATGAACCACCTCCTCCAAAGTTCTGAACACTACAGGGTCGACCTCTGTATCAGCAGAGGCAGCTAAATGGAGCAAACTGTCCCCACAGCCTCCAACGGAAGAGTAAATAACCCGAACCTGCATTTTCAGCCAGACCAGCCGAGACTCTCAGATCTCTGACTGCTGCTGACTGTGAGCAGCCACTACTGTACTGTCTTGTCCTCAGTTACCGCTTATAGAGCAAGACATGTACAGTCGATCTACAGAATCTGATATCAATCAACCAATAGGATTATTCAGACGCTGTGACATCATTGATTGACAGCCCCTTTATTAGCATAAGGACAAGGAAATACAGAAATAAATAGATAGGGAAATAAATAAATATAGAAATGAATAGTTATGGAAATGAATGAATACAAAAAGAAAAATGTTATTAAAGAAACATAAATAACAAACAATATTAATACAAAAATTAGTGAGAAGGGGAAATAGACAAAAGTAAATGCAGACATACATTTATGTAAGGTTTTATTTATTAATATGTAAATTTTTATGTATATTTATTCATTTTTAGATGCATCATCATTATCCTTTGCAATTCTATATATTATATAATTCTATAATAATTATATAATATATATAATTATAATATAATATATAATATAATTATATAATTCTAATATATATATATATATATTAATTTACTAAGTCATTTATCTAATATATTATCTATCTATCTATAAATCTAATATATTCATTTACTAAGACTATTTTTTATTTTATTTATTTTTCATTTAAATCTGGTCCTCCATACTTTTATCCCTGCATGTGGAGGAACGATGTGTTGTTTATTATTTATCCATGACATTTTCTGTAATGCTGTGTAAGAGAGTCAGACTTGTGCCTGAATGGACAAATGCATGTGCCAAAATCTGGACTCTGTTAATAATGATGTCTTTAAATCGTGGAGCTAAATGAAGAATCCAGATTTATGTGTGTGTGTGAGTCCCAAAGGAAAGCTGGATTCCTCATTCGTTTGCCGCAGTGACTCTCTGGGTCTTCTCTTTTACATTCCACACTAAATTTAGGAGCTCGGCTAAAATAGCAAGCAGTGTGTGTTTGTACGTGTGTGTGTGTTCGTGCGTGTGTGTGTGCGCGCGCACATACAGCGGGGTTGGGTGTCTCTCTGATCGGGCCTGTTCCCGGGGGCTGGTGCAGAGTGGGGTAACTGGGGCGGATCCTCCATGCTGATAATCTTGGATCAGTCCCACAGCACGTCTCTCACCCACAACACTATTTTTACACCACTTTCGTCCTCTACTACCTTTCTGTCTCTTTTACTCAGTGCTCAGCGTGTGTTAGGATCAGTGGAATGTGTATTAGACTATACACCCACCATAACATTATGACCACCTCTCTACACTCATTGTCCATTTTATCAGCTCCACTTACTATATAGGTGCACTTTGTAGTTCTACAGTTACAGACTGTAGTCCATCTGTTTCTCTGCATACTTTGTTAGCCCCCTTTTACCCTGTTCTTCAGTGGTCAGGACCCCCATGGACCCTCACAGAGCGGGTACTATTTGGGTAGTGGATCATTCTCAGCACTGCAGTAACACTGATGTGGTGGTGGTGTGTTAGAGTGTGTTGTGCTGGTCTGAGTGGATCAGACACAGCAGTGCTGCTGGAGTTTTTAAACACCTCAGTGTCACTGCTGGACCGAGAATAGTCCACCAACCAAAAATATCCAGCCAACAGCGTCCTGTGACCACTGATGAAGGACTAGAGGATGACCAACACAAACTGTGCAGCAGCAGATGAGCTACCGTCTCTGACTTTACATCTACAAGGTGGACTGACAAGGTAGGAGTGTCTAATTGGTTGGACAGTGTTTAAAAACTCCAGCAGCTCTGCTGTGTCTGATCCACTCAGACCAGCGCAACACACGCTAACACACCACCACCACGTCAGTGTTACTGCAGTGCTGAGTAAGTGGAGTAAGTGGAGCTGATAAAATGGACAATGAGCGTAGAAACAAGGAGGTGGTCAGAATGTTATGCCTGATTGGTGTATCTACACTGAGTTTCCAGTTTATTATGTGTGTACCATGTACCTTCTCACACTGGCCATTTTATTAGAAACACCTATCACATACACTGCAAAATGTGTATCTTGGATTTAGTCGATAAAAAGCCTAGAATCAAGACAGGCTGTAATGCAATTGCAGTAAGATATGGTACAGTTATGTTCCCTAACT